GCAGTTTTAAGCTGAGTACATGATCTTTTATTATGACATTGTCCACCACAATTTCTACAGGTCATAATAAGACCAGTCTTACTAAGATGTTCATGCTTGACTTTTTTTGGTCCATCTTTTGACTTCCTTCGATTTTTCTTAGGTCTTCTAGGTATATCTCTATTAATCGGTGGAAGAACATGCTCAATTCCAAATTTCTTCCAATCTTGAGGCCCATTAATATGTTGCAACACATATTTATATGCTTTACTTTAAGTGTCCTTGTGATAACAAGGAATCAAATACTCATGTGAGTCCCCACCAGTATTCCATATTGCACAACAAGCATGAGGACAAGGAATCTCACATAGTTACCACCTTCTACATGTATTTTCCTTTCATTCAAGTCCACAATGTATTGCTTCCTACCTTTCTTAACCTCACATCCATTTTCTCCATTCCAAAACATTCTCCATTTTATGATGTCCTTCTTCATGTTGTCGAAATTTTTCTTGATCAATTTCTCATAGTTGTACTTTCAGTTACTCAAGAATCTTCTCTTCTCAACTATTCTTGTCATAATCTTGACTCTAATCTCCTCAAGCATTGTAATAATTATCTTGTACCTTGACTCAACAATGCTCGAGTTAAAAGCCTTGCACAAATTATTATCGACTATATTTGACTTGGCATGCAGGTTTTGAAAAGCCTTGGTCCACTTTTTCTCTTTTTTTTAAAATAGTTCATTAGCACTTGTGGCATCAATCTTCGATAGTGCATCTTTTTTCTCTTCCCATACACTTTCAGTAGTGGACTCGACAATTTCCCAAAAGGCAAATTGATATGTTTTTTTTCTCTTTCTTCTAGACCAATTCACAAACACATGTTGAGCATAATTTCTATGTTCTACTTGTAGTAGGATATCATTTATAGCAATCTCTATACCCTATCAAAAAAAATATAAATAATTATTTTGACACAAATTAAAAAAATAACAATATGTATATTAAATGTAAATCAAATTTTACCTTTTGTTAGTCATTAATGATGGTGTAGCCAAATCCATCATCCAATCCCAAGTCTGTTGTGACTAGGCTTAGAAACCAAGACCAAGAATCTGTAATTTCACCCTCCACAACAGCCCATACGATAGGGTACATCTGATTATTGTTATCTCTTCCAACAGCAGACAAAAGTATACGGTTGAATGGGCCCTTAAGGAAACAACCATCTAGACCGATTATAGGCCTACACCCTTTTTTTCAAACCTCTCTTCATAGCATCAAAACGTACATAAAATCTTTAGAAATGAGGTGGAGAAATATCTAACACCCTATTTACTACCATCTTTATTATGCTCCCTGAATTTTTTTACCTTAACTCGTCTGCATATTCACATAACTGAGCAAATTCTTCATTACAGTTTTCAGCTAACCTTGATGTGACCAAATTATTTGCCCTTCGAAATTTACTCATCTTAACATTTACATGTAGCTCAGATTGCACCCTTTTTTGTATCTCTTTAAGCTTTATTTTTGGGTGGTCTCTAATAGTATCCTAAAAATGTTTTGCAATAACCTTAGCAATACCCATACTGTTACTAAAACTAACAGGGCAGTTGTTTTCATCTATGAAAGTCTTCACCTGTAGACTACCTGTCATCTTATTTGTACTCACATAGATTCTCCATGGATAATTTTTATATGCAATGCATTTGAAACTAATCATATTAGTTTCATAATGTAGAATTGTCAACCCTCTTCTATTGCATCTCAAATATTTATGGATGGCATCTTTGAATTGTTTATCATCTATAAACAACATCCCCAAATAGAATTAAAGACTCTTTGCATGTGGGTTGTAAATAGGTATCTTCCTTTTCTCCTAGCAACTTCTTCATATTCACCATCATTTGATCCAATGAGTCTCTCATGGTCATCACTGTCATAGTAATCGGTGTCATTCCCACCTACACCTTCTACATGGATCTCAGTTACATTTTCATTATCAGTTTCAGTATCACTTACAACATTCCCATCTATTTCCTCACTATCACTCTCTTCATCATCGTCAAGACCAGCCTCTGCTGTAACACCATCTCCATCACCCTCAAGACCACCCTCTGCTACAACAGTAGCTTCAACAACATCTCTATCACCCTCAAGACCACCTTATGTTATAGCAGTAACTTGAACACCATCTCCATCACCCTCAACACCACAATCTGTTGCAGTAGCAACATGAACACCCTCTATTACAGCAGTAACATTTTCAACATCTTCACTAACCCTTTCAACAACACAATCATCCACACCCTCACCCACATCATCACTCTCACCAGCAGTTATTTGTAAGATGTCATTAACAATATCAGGGGTATCTACTTCATGCTCTACATATATGACTATAAACCCATATTTAACCCAAACGTTCAACATGACAATTGCACTTGTATCATCCTAAAGCACCCTCAGATTATCTTGTAAACAACCACTAAATGGTTCATGAAAGTATATTATTTGGATAGTATTGAAATGTAAAGCATTCTGAATAAGTTTACGAACTTCAAATTGTGAAATCGTATCTAGATCCTCTCTCAATCTAATCAACTCACCACCTACGTATCTCACATATAGATCTCGAAAAAAATTTCCACCAACATACAAATTCATATAGTACTCCTTATCCTCGTCCATATATATTTTAGCAATAAATAAATATATGTTAGCATGCACATGGACGGACCCAAATCAGGTAATAAAAAAAATTCAAAGTATGCACATAGAGGGACCACTTTTCTAGTTAAAAATAAAAAATGTAGCCCTCGCCACTCATATAATAATCCCAACACATATCCTAAAGTTTATCTAGTCCCTAACAATCATATATGCATCAATATGCATTTCACACTACTTTGATTCTTTAGTATAAACTCAAATCATAAACCCAACAGAAAACCTAACAGAAAACCCAAACAGAACCTAGGCATTCACATAAAATTGTAGGGTTGTGAACAATCCATTTATATAACTTATTTATCTAACACAATATAACAAAGAATTCAAAAAAATACAAAAACTAAAACACTTAAGCAAACCCATTCAAAATTCGATTTATCCTTAACCAAAATATTCAAGTAGATAGTTTGAAATTTTAAATTCACCTTCTATGAATGGGAAATGTGTAATTGATTCAAAATTCCTGCTTGATTCGAACTTAATTGAGATAGAATTCAAAGGGAAAACAATTTGATATAGTAGAGTTTATAAACCCTAATATTTGGGGAATAATCGCATATAGGAAAAATGAGATTATGAGAAGATTTTGGAAATAATCGAGGTAGATGGAAAAGTAAGATTATAAACATGTGTTTTAATTTTTTTCATTGCATTCAAATTAAGTATCTATTAAATACGTTTTGTTTCATTATTAAATCAAGTAAGAAGCCTGGTCTAGTGGTAAAACATGTGTCATTCCATAGCCTTTCCCAGGTTTGTTTCCCCTCCCCTGCATTTCCTTTTTTAATAGGTCCTTTAAATAATTAAATATAAATAATAAAAATAATTTTAAATTTTATTTATAAAATTTCTGACGTGATAGTGCCACGTCATCATTTCCTCTTACCTGGAGTAGCCATGTCAGCACCTCAGTTCATGTGTACATGCTTGGTCAACATCAAGCGTTGACCTTCAGCTGACTAACGATTTCCATCCACCGATGGTGCTTTTTGATCCAAAATAAAACTTTAAGTAGTCAAATGTGTTAAAAAAAAGAATAAGGGTATATTTGACAATATTGTCAAACATTAGGGTTATTTTGTTGTATTATATCTTAAATAATGATATTGATAATAAATTATTTATTACTTTAACCGATAGAGCAAGTACTTTCTAGCAATAATTAGTTGGGTAAATTACACCAATAGATACTAATATTTGAGTAAGTTTTCGTTGTTCCCACGAAAGTTTCAAAAGTAGTTTAAGGGTAAAACTGAATACTAATCTTTTTATTAATGTTGCCACGTCATCAATTTAAGGGAGATAGCGGTGAATTGACCATTTTGTTACAAATCGATAACATTAGTGACTAATTTATTATTTTTGAAAACTTACTCAAACATTAGTGATCATTGGTGTAGTTTACCCTAATTAGTTTTAACTAAAATAATGTATCGCTACTGGTCATCTTCCTTTTCCACCGTCTCCGATGATGCATCGCTGGTGCCGACCTACACTCAAAATGTACATCGATGGTGTTGTGGCAAGGCCTCGTGCGGTAGCTGGCTTTGAAGTTATAGTTGGTGAACTGGGCAAGCTCTCCTCTCCTCATTGGCAACTGTTGTCGAAGCGTCTACCCTCACAGCTGATATTCATCTAGCTTGTCATTGTTGAAAGCGATTCCAGTCATCCTCGGGTGGCAGCAGCTTCTACATCCTCGTATTCATCTCGTACCACCTTGTCCGAAGCTAAGCGTCTCCTTGATATTCATTACCATATATATTTCTGTCTCGGATGTTCGTCGCATTGCAAATACACTTTAGCTCACTCTGCATCCACTATGACCACCCCCAAATATATTTTGATTATGTTAACCCCAAATATATTGCTTCTATTCTACTTTCCGATGTCGTATTTAGCTACTACAATGCGTATAGTTTACTTTCAAACAAAAAACTAAAGCAGTAAAAAAATCCCTTCAACTTTATTTATTTAATTAAGCTTTCATACTTCTATATACTTGCATAATAACCCCTCATCTTTGAGTAACGCGTCTTCCCTCAAGCCATCCATTAACCTTTATTAGTTTGCTCACCTAACTAATAGATACAAGGTAGTGTTAAAACAAAGGCTTGCTTAAGTACAAATCAAAGAACAATGATAAAAAAATTAATAAGGGTTATCTGCATAAAACTATAAAATTTAGGGACTTTATTAAATATTTAAGCCATGTATTAGGAGCGAGTGTGCAATTCTTACCTATTTTAAGAGTGAAAACGTCTGCCTTTGTTTAAGCTAAAGAACTCAAATGTTAACCGCAAATGTTATTACAGTATCAGTGAAAGGAGTCCCCAAACTCCACAATGTGATAAATTGTGTAAATGCATTGATGGATAAGAACATTTATTTTAGGCTAAATATAAAAATTTCAACACCATCCGCTGAGTGAACATTGCTTCTCTAGATTCACTTTTCTTTTGGAATGTCAAGGTTCGCAAAGATCGGACTGTCGACTCCGACTCCCATTGCATTTAGGCCATTGTCAACATACACAACAGCCCCTGTGATAGCAGAAGACAATGGCGACGCCAGAAAGGCAGCAGCATTCCCCACCTCCTCTGTCCAGTAATGAGCCAAAAATACAAGGCATAATGTTTTTAGTACAGACTCAGAATCCTCGTCTATTTCCTTTATTGTTTAAGGGTGTTTGAATGACGATTCTTCATTTTTAGCAGCATTAAATGCCAATACAAGCCATGGTAGTTTGCGCCTTACCTGCTGATAGTTCTTTCTGCAGGGGCGCATTAGCCAGTGAGTAATCAATCATCATGTCGATAAATCCAATGGCTTTTGCAGCTCTACTCCTCAATGGACCTGACATATTTTCGGGCAAGAAACAAAAAACAGTAATCGAAACTGGAGATTACTCTCATTTGTAAAACTTCAAACTTTCAAGTAAGTGGTCCGATTCCTGTGGAATATAAGCATGCTTTTCTAACATTATTCCTACCAGAAAATTGGAGGCTCAGCAGGGGAACTAATGGGACATAATTATCTCCGGAAACGTTTAATTGTTAAGAAAATATTTGACGTAAGTATGCCTCTTCCAGGATAAAGGGTGGATATATTTTCTCATTAATAAGCTACTGACCTGCAGAAATCGTATTGACTCTGACTTTGTGTTTTCTTCCAGCTTCAAAGGCCATTACCTGTATCAAGCAATTACCAAGTCACCGATGGTCGGACAAAACCAAAAGAAACACCAAAACATTGCAGAACAGAAAGCAGCCCTAAGAAAGTAAAAAAAGAAGAAAGGGAAAACTCACACGAGTATCGCTCTCCAAAGCAGCCTTTGCCGAGCTCATGCCTCCACCATATCTGCCCACAGAATGGCATGATCAAAAGCAAACAAGATATCTATAACAAAAATTTCCTAAATAGGAAAATATAAATGGCAAAATACCCGGGGATTATTCTTTCAGAAGCAATGTATGTTAGAGAAATCGATGAACCTCCTGAAACATCAATAAGCAAGTTTAACTTCGAGCAACAATTGTATGTTCACTTCCATGGATCGTTAAGAAGAAAAATTAAAGCGAGAATGGATGAAGAACATGCCTGTATTCATTATTGGAAGGAAATGCTTGAGTAGAGAAACATAGGAGTAACTTGATGCAGATAGGGCGGCAAGATATCCATTTCTCGATGTCTCTAAAAGTGGTTTGCTTACCTGCCGATCAATGTTCAGAATAAATACGCAACTACGACAATATTTGAGAAAAAAATACTTCCATGAAGAACACTACACCTCTGGTCCATTTGCAAGGGAGTGAACAAGAATGTCGATACTGCCAAAATCCTTTTTCACAGATTCAACAAGCTCCTGTGAGAAATGTACGCAAAGTAGTCAGTTACGGCATCATTCCATTACCATATGAAATACAAAGAAAAAGTCATTTTAATCACTGCACCGGGGAACCATAATGAACTTGATACATTCAATACAGTTAACCACCCAAGATTTTTCAGATATCCATAATACATACAAAGTTGAATATATCATGAAGCTGAAATGAATTTTGTAATAACCCATAAACACTGAAACAATGACAGTATGTGCCTAACTCGAGACAATGTGAGATGTATGGCAACTTAAAAAGTTACATATTATGATGCTTAATTTGACTGAACAGTTTTTCACCTGAACTGTCCAATTCGAAGAGCCGGCATAACGTTTATTTGTTTTCACCTGAAAGAAACTAAAAATTAGGATACAACAAAAGTAATATTTGCCTTCTTCTAAAACCAAATGGAGAAGAAAGCTTACGTCTTCAGGTACATCCTCAGGTGAGTCATAAACAGCATCCATGGGATAAACTTTGGTGATATCCATTAATGACCCATCTGGCAATCTGGGAAAGTAAATTTTGAATTAGTATACAGAGTTCAGCAAATATCAAAATCCACAGAATTGAACAGAAAAAACCATTTTTGTTCTTACACGCGTGATTCATCAAATTTTCCACGTCTTAGACTGCTCTCGAATATGTTGAGCGCCTTTACAAAGAAATACATGCTATCATATGAAAGATTGGGGAAAAAATACAAGTTTGACCTTAAATGAGAATTTTTGCTTCTAAATGACCAATATATTAGATCGAGATACGTACAGGTACCCATGTTCCAACAAGAATTTCAGCTCCAGCAGCAGCAAGAGATTTTGCTATAGCCCAACCATATCCATTGTCATCAGCAACACCAGCTATGAATGCTCTTTTACCTGCAAATCAAGGCATCATATTAGATGTTCAAGTATTTTTGTTCATACCTCACAGACAAATTTCATTCCTTAAGAGTTTGCGAGTCAAGTCAAGACACAAAGAGATAAAAAACATTTTAAGGTTCAATAAACAAGATCACATGGTTAGATGACACAAGTAGTCATGTAGTCTGTAAGTATTCAACATTATTTCACCTATTGGAAAATGCAAGTAGGCTTTCGAATCAGAAAGCTTAGAGGTTAGAAGATGGTGGTGAAACATAGAAGATAAAATATCATTGATTGATAAGTGACCTCTCAAATCAATAGGAAGTCCAGGCAAAGGCTTGTTGTCACTTGCTTCAGACAATGCTCTTGTAACAAACTTTTCAAATCTCACAGGTTTTGAAGTGATACTATGGAGGAACGGCTGCCTTGATGAGATGTTAGAGAAGCTTGCAAGCCTTGTCCAAGACGCTTCTTTATGCTCAGTGCTGATGTTCACCGTGCTTGAAACAAGTATTTTACGAGAAGAAGGAATACAAGGCTTGATGTTTGCAATGTAAGAACCAGGTGCTGCTGCCGTTCCCATCTTTTCTTTTATTTTTTCTTATTTGAATCGCCCAAAGTTAATAACGGTTCTGCAAGATCAAGGACACTTATATAATCAAATGAAAGACATAACAATAAGGTTAAAAAAAAAGACAACTTTAATCAAATATCACTAGCTAATATAATTAAAAACAGTAGGGATTTAAATTGCCGTTGCGACCGTATTTTCGATCGCATTACATTTATCGTGGTTGCGGACATAATTAATGCTACTGTGGTCACTCCGTGATGTGAAATTTTTTAAAGGAGTTGAATTTTTTAAAGGAGCTGTTTTTTCATAGAACAGCGGTACAATGGCATGAATAACGGCCCACTATCACTACAATTGGACACTACGCTCTAAAATGTGGCCGTGGTCCACCGCTATTTTCTGCGATAGCCGTTTCGACACTGCATCTTACCTGACCCTTTTTCCATATGTAATGGGATACGAGGAGATAAGGCTGCCTCTAATACCAGATTGAGAGCGGCCTCGATCCCACGACCACAAGATTAAGAGTCGTTTCGACACTGCCTATTCCACTATTTAAATCCGTGGGAAACACCAGCATTCCCTTCTTAAAAAGTTAAGATCACAAATTAAGAACTTTTATTAATCAACAGTTTGTCTCAAACACCCAATTCTAATTAAGTTGAAATGTATAAATCGAAACTATGATCTTTTGGCTCAGTTTGGTTCGCGGGTTCTTCTAGAAATTGTTTGACATGCATCGTGTGCTACAATGCTCAGCCATGTAACACATCAGTGCTCATTTTCATCATATTTCTCAGCAATCAAATAAGAAACACAAGATTTCCCATATCAGTTTTTCCACATGGCCAACCAACAAGTAACTAAAAACAGAAGATCAAGTTCAAAACTTGGAAAACAGACATAAGAAAGACGAAAACAAATGAAATTAAACAAAAAATGGAATGAACCCATTACTAAAGTTTCAAAAACAAGCCACATTTCACAGTAAATATGGAGAAAGAAATGATGAGAACCGAGAAAAGTTAAAGAAATGATGAGAACCGAGAAAAGTGAAGAACAGTATAACATTGAAAGATCCGAAAACTCACCAAAGCAAAGAAGGAGAAGGAGAAGGAGAAGATGGGTGGGAATGTGTTTAAATGGTATAAAAAGAAAAGATGATGAAGTATATAAACGGGGGTTTGGGTCTCTTGTTTTGGTGGTTTCGATGAAATCGAAGTGGTTGATAAGTTTGGTTTCCAACAGTTGGGAAGCAACGAGGGGAGCTTTGGAAACGTCGACTAGAGTTTGGTTTTTGCCTTGTTTAATTATTTATTTGCCCCTCTTTTTACAGTGGACTCTTGACTTGGCTTGCTGTAAAACAATAGGCACTACCGGGAACAAAACTCGATTTTATTCAAAAAAAATTGATTTTTACTCGATTTTATTTGAATTAATTTTTATTTTTAATTTTATAAACTTGACTTGATTTAAAAAAATAAATTTGAGTCGAATTATAAAATACAACTCGAATAATAACTTGAATAACTTAAAAATTATAGAGAAAATAACATCAGTAACCAAAAATGCCTTATAATATACGATTTTAACCAACTTTTTTTGGATTTGCCAAAATGACCAACTAAATCGCAATGCGATCGATAATTCGCAACGCGATTTCCGGTATCGCAAATCAGTTTCCAGATTCGCAACGCAATTCTGACTATCGCATTGCGATTTTCCAAATTCGCGTTGCGATTTTCCTAATTCGCAATGCGAATACGTAAATCGCAACGCGAATCTGGAAAATCGCAATGCGATTACGTAAATCGCAATGTGAATCTGACTATCACAATGCGAATCTGACTATCGCAACGAGATTCTGACTATCGCAACGAGATTCTGACTATCGCAACGAGATTCTGACTATCGCAATACTGAATTTCAAATTCGCAACTCGATTTCTGAATTCGCAACAGGTTTTAGTTTCGCAACACAAATGTTTTGGGTATATAACTAAGCAGCAGCAACAACTCATAACCTAAATCCCTAAATCGCAACTCATTTTATCTCCATCTATCACTCTCTCCGGCGACATCCGTTCCTATATCCAACGACATCCTTCCCCATCCGGCAACATGTTTTAGTTTCGCAGCTCATTTGTTTAGTAAATTAATTTACAATAATGAAATCATCTAATGTTGATCATGTTTGGATAGATTTGTGTTTTGGAGGGTCATGGGAGAATGTTCATGGTGTTTTACAATATATGCCTTTACCCATGAATCTTCAACTAAAACTGTCATTAAAAAAGTTAACTTATGAAACTCTAATGTTACGTGTTGCAGATAAATTGAATTTAGAGCCCCTAAGTGGATTTAGGCTATCTTATCAGATAAATGATAAAGTTTATTTGTTAACCGACAATGAAGATGTTGAACGATTCATTGCTTACATTAGTGTTTCAAGTGATGATGTTACATTGTATGTTGTTGAACCTAGAAGTAGTGAAGTTGGGTCAGTAGTGGGTAGTAATCAACTAAGTTTTTCAACCCCAGTTTATGGTGCTCAAAATTTAATGGTTCCACCACAATTTCATCACCAAGCAAATATTGTTTCACCACATTTCCAATACCAAACACAATCTCAAAACCCACATCATTTCCCTAATCCAAATCCCAATCAACTTTCAGCACCAAATTCTGGTTTTCGTATTGACCAGTTAGACGATGATGAGCCAACAGAAAAAATTGTGAGTACTAATCAGTATTCAAAATTTGATCTTGGTCAATACCTAGACTTTGATCTTGGTCAATACTCGGATTTTGATGATTTTTCAGAAGAAGAAACAGACCCTGCGTGTAATGATTTTGATATTGGTCAATACCCGAATTTTGATGATGAAACAGCCGTTGCCGAGGAAGATGTTGTTGATGATAATGAGGAGGAAGTTACGATTGTAAATGAACATGTTGAACATCCATTCTGTAATTCATATAACCCTGAAGAAGAAGAAGAAGAAGAAGAAGAAATCCCCAAAGAAAAGTCCCCGAAGAAAATGCCACGGGAGTATAACTGGAATATACCAGAATTACTTCAGATACCAGAAGAAGAGTTGGTAAAGATAGCAGTTGATTGTTACACAAAAATTATTCGTATCAAGAAAGATGATTGTTTTGATACAAAGGAAGACTTGAAGATAGCTTTGTATACGAAATGTGTGGAAGATGGCTATCAACTAAAAGTTAACAAATCAAGCAAAGATCGTTTCGAAACAAGGTGTATGATTGACAAAAACTGTACGTGGCGTATGATTGCAAAGAGGATAAAAGATTGCGAAATGTTTCAAGTTAGGACTTTTATTGATAAACATACATGTTCAAGAACCCAAGTTTTTCCTCACCATAGACAGGCAAACAAAAAGGTGTTTGGTGGTTTTCTGGCTGAGTTAATGTTTTTGAATGGCAGGGTATATCAGGGACATGAAATTATGACTGACATGAATGCTCGGTTCAAGAATAGTATCTCATATTCTCAAGCTTGGAGAGCCAAATGTTATGCCTTGGAATTGTTGAGGGGGTCGCCAGAAGCATCGTTTGCCCAACTGCCGGCTTATTTTCACAATTTAAAGCTGAAAAATCCTGGGTCAGTAACTCATATCAAAACAGATAGAGATGGACGCTTTGAGTTGCTGTTTATCGCCATTGGTGCTGCGGTTAGTAAATCAATATAATTTTGTTGACTCATTTTTGTTAGTTACAAGCATTTCAAATTTAAATGATTATATTTCTTGTGTATATGATTTTGTAGATTCGTTCGTTTATTACTTGCATGCGCCTAGTTATTATAGTTGACGGAACATATTTAAAAGGTCGATACCTTGGAGTAAACTTATTAGCAGTAGCCATGGATGCTAACAATGGGATACTGCCAATAGCTTACAGGGTTGGCAAATCTGAAACATCTGATTCATGGACATGGTTTATGGGGCATCTTAGGGATTGCATAGGTCCTATTAGCAATCTGACAGTCATATCCGATAGGGCAAACTCAATTGACAACGCTGTTAGAAGGTGTTTCCCAGATGCTTTTCATGGACTTTGTGGTGTTCATTTGTATAGAAATCTAAAATCAAGGTCTGCTGGTATAAAAAATCACAAATGGACATAATGGAAGGCTGTAAAAGCTTATCGGGAAGTGAATTTTAATAAGCATATAAACTGTTTAAGACGTGTTTTGCCTCAGTGTGCTCAAACACTAGAAGATGTCGGGTTTGAAAGATGGTCAAGAGTACATCAACTTGGAGTAAGATATGGTTTCATGACGTCTAATAGTGCAGAATCAATCAACGCTCTAAGTCGTCATTCCCGGAAATTACCCATTATTATGTTAATGGAGTTTTTTCGAGCCTTTATTCAACAGTGATACTACAAGAAAAGAAACCATGCATGTATTATTTCTTTAAATTTGTAACTTATCATATATTTTACTAAGTATTATTTATTTAAATTTACAGGAAAATTGGAACATCGTGTTACACCATGGACTGAAAAAAAGATAACGAAACATGTTGTGAAGTCAATGTCATGGAGAGTTGAACCATGTTCAAACACTTTGTTTGAAGTACTGGATAATAACTTAAATGGGCTTGTCGATCTAAATGCAAAGACGTGTAGTTGTATGAAATGGCAAACATCTGGTTATCCGTGTGGCCATGTTATAAAAGTTTCTCTTCATCTAAACCAAGATGATTCAAGACCATACGCTATGGATTGCTACACTATAGAAGTATATCGACAGACTTATGTCGAGATTGTCTACCCTATTCCACATCCTTCTGAGTGAGACATACCAGATGACTTACAAACAGTTTTTCCACCAGCCATGGACAGAAGGCTACCTGGCCGACCAAAAATTCACGATCGTATACCGTCTAAGGGTGAAGAAAAGAAGAGATCGACATGTAGTCGGTGCAAGGAAAGTGGTCATACAAGGTTGACATGTGGATCACCAGTGCCATCACAATCATCTTTTCCTCTACTAAAATATGGATCCTCATCAAAATCTCAATCACAACCGGCTTCACCTTTTGGGACTGTTAACTTAGGTGATTTTTAAATGCAAACGTTGTATTATGTGTATATTATGTGTGAACTTTTAACATTTTCAGTTAGGCATGTATTAGTAACTTGAGTTTGAACATTGCTATGATATGTTCAGTTGTTATCACTTATTAGACATTTATTTGACTATCGCAACACGGAAATCGCAACGCGAATATGACTATCGCAACACGGAAATGACTATCGCAACGCGGAATTGACTATCGCAACGCGGAAATGACTATCGCAACGAGAGAATCGCAATGCGAAATGAAAATCGCAACGAGAGAATCGCAATGCGAAAATAAAAATCGCAACGCGAAACTAATTCGCGTTGCGATTTTCATTTTCGCATTGCGATTCTCTCGTTGCGATTTTCATTTCGCATTGCGATTCTCTCGTTGCGATAGTCATTTCCGCGTTGCGATAGTTTGTTTTGCATTCAACATAATGCAGATTGAAATCAACAAATCAACTATTACATTTCAATCAATTAAACAAGCACAAATAATAATTATGTACACATCAATTAAAGAAATCAACATTTACAAATCATCTTTTACAAATCAATTAAACAATCAAAAAATAATAATGAATTATTTCCTCATCAATTATTGAATCAACTTGTGCACCCATACATCCATTTCACGCAGCTCACTTCAGGATTAACCTGCAGAAACCAAACATTGAATCAACAACACTTTCTACACATCTAAAACCTACAAACAGCAAATTATTGAATTCTAGCTACTTAACCAAACATTTTCAAACCATAAAAAGTATATATGTTTAACAACACTTGCATTTGACTTAAAAATTGTTTATGGACACTTTCATAACGCGGATGCAGGTAGGCAGCGTCTCGCATATATCGCTCTAGCCATAAAATGCCGAAACCACAAGCCTACTGCACCTATATCTCTATCGGTGGGAGGTAGAAACTGTGTATTTCCTGTCGTCAAACGCTCCAAGCACATGCATACGAGAGGACCACAATCCCCTCTGGCTTCCTTCGTTTGTTGTGGCGCGGTCTCGTCTCTGATAACTGTAACATTGAACTTCTTTGGCCTCTTGTTTCCAGACTTAGTCCAATAATTAATTGCATCCAAGAATTTAGCAAATGAGAGCTACATCCCTTAATAATAT